ATGCATAATGGATGACTGAGGTGTAAACAAGATCCCATTTACACTGGGTTGTGAATTGACTTTTGGCTGATTAATTCCAGGGGCAGCACAGTGGTTATCGCTGTCACCTCACAGCAAGAAGTTCTCCCCCCAACAAACCTCTTCAGGAATAAATGGTATAATGGACAGATGGATTGATGAATGATTAATTCTGATGCATTATTGCATTAAATGGAAGCTCACATTTTGCCTAAATCCACATTTGAAGAGTTAGCGGTCTTTTTAGTACACTTTGTGCTTTCATGGAAAACGATTGTTTGCTGACCCACAACAGAGAGGAGATTTTGTTCTTCAGAGACTTCATTTTGGAGGGTCTAACTCAGTTATGCCTCATAATAACATTGGCTCAGTTTTAGAATGTATTGTTTTGTTGTTGTTATAGAAATACAGTGGAACTGTGGATTTTGAACCTATCACTTGCACTGAAATGTGTAATACTGAGTATTCAAGTACACCTGGACATTGTTTTTAAGGCATAATGTTAAATATTACTAATCCTTTAAGTGCACATGGGCTTGCCTATAACAACATCACTACGCTATGAAAACAATTAGTAAAGCAGATATGAATTCCTTTATCAGACAATCACCATAACTTTTATTTGCGTCTATGTCCATATTGACACACCAAACAAAGAAAAGAAGTCTCATATAGACTCGGTGCCCAAATTAAATCTGCCATGTAGTCTGTTAACACCGGTAGTTTGTTTTACCATGGCCTGTCACCCATTAACTGACATATGGTAGGCAGGGACAGTGAGGAGGGACCTGCTAACGTTTCCTGTTTCTTTACACTGGCTGATTAAGCAGAGGGGGACAAGAAACTGAGCGACTCACTGCATCTGTTTTAATGTTTCTTCTAATTATGAACTTTATGGACCATTTGGAAAAGAAGCACCACTGAATACAGAGTGAGTAGAATTGTATTAATTTTTAAGATAAGAGTTTATGCTTTTTCTTCTACCGTACTTGTTCATGTATGTTTATAGCTAACACTTAAAGACTTAAAGGACTATTCCAAAGGTTTTTCATGTCCCATTAGTGGTGTACAGTTTAGGTCTTTAGGCCTAAAGTATTGACCTTAAAACTCTGCTGTCAGGTTTGCCCAGCTCCACCTTCCTCTCTTCTTCTTCCTCACACTAGCCTAGCCCTTGCACTGATTAAACTATTCAACACACCTGCCCTGCTTCCCTGATTACTCACCAGCTGCACCTCATTAGTCTCCTCCATACTTATACACTGTTCACCAGTCACTCCCCTGCCAGTTCTTTCTCTGTCTTTAGGCCAGTGGTTGTTATGTTGTTTTATCAAGTTTATGCTAAGATTGTCTTTGTTCTCTCTAGTCCTTGTTAGCACCCTAGTCATTATCCTGCCCTGCCGTCTCTAGTGTCTTCTTCCTCTTCGGACCTCTCCTCTGGACCCCCCTGGATTTAATCTACACCACCAGCCACCGCCTCCCAGGTCGATGCACAGTCTCCCTTACCCAGTTTATCCCTGCTCTTCTGTCTACAGCCATCATCACCTCCACCTCGACCAGCCCAGGAGTGACCTCTGCATCCGCAGCCCGATACATCATCATCCACCATACCACTGACTGTTTTTCTGCTGCTGCTGATAAACATCCGGTCATCTACCTCATTACTCCTCCTGTATATATGTCACTACCTTCACTATAAATAAACCTCACTGCTTGCACCGAAGCCAGCCACCTGGGTCTGCTTTTTATCTGCTCGCTCACTCTGTGTTCGAGCGCACCCCAACATCTGGTACTGGTAGGAATATACTAAGTAATACTTTTATTGACACTCAATATGATGATGTGTAAAACTGATGAGGTGACTCTTTAATTTAAGGGTTTCATTATACATACATATTTATTTTTGCATTCCTTCCTTATTTCCTTCCTTGTTTCTTTACAAGGTGTGAGCATAACGTCACAACTGCAATGGAAAACTCAAGCCTGGCCACCAATCGTTCTGAATGTTTGATTGACAGCACATCCAGGAGGAGGCCGTTTCTATTTTTCTACCTGGCTGTCATCCTTACTGCCATCCCATCCAATGTCTTCTTCCTCTACGTGTCCTGGCAGCACATTAAACACAAGAACGAGCTTGGTGTGTATCTGTTCAACCTGGCCCTGAGTGACCTGTCTTTCACTGTTTGCCTGTCTCTGTGGCTGGACTTCCTGTGGCAAGGCTTTTGGGCCCATGGAGGCTACGTATGTGTGCTTTCTATCTTCTTTCTTTTCACTAACTTTTACACCAGTGATGCCTTCCTCTGCTGCATTGCTGTCGA